TTTTTTTTTTTTTTTTCATGGGTGGGGGGTTAGAGATCTTCATATAGCAATTACTAAGCGGTTGGAAATATGGCTCTGGGTTTTAGGTCTCCATGTTCTCAGCTTGGCTTTGATTTGAAAACTGGAAGATACAGATAAGAATAAGTTGCATGAAGCTGGCTGGAAGTTTCACAAAGGAAATGGATGATATCAGACTCAGCACGCATTTCACAGAATTGTTAGATGCTTTTCAAAGAATCACACGGTGTAAAATCACTTGGCCTTGCAGAAGCATTTTAGACAATCTTTTTGGATGGAAGAAATACCTTCCTATCATTATGCCCCTATAATGGAGAGAATGACATGCTGAGTTTTGTAGACAAATATAGTAGGTTTTTATTTCTCCTTTCCCTAAGTTGTTGAGTTACTGAAATCATCTCCCAGGGAAGAGGATAGCAGTTTTCTGGTGACACTTGGAGAATTTCTCTTCCCGAGTACTTTCAGTAGAAAGCGTATTTCTAGGTGGAGACAGGGTGTGCCCAGTGAAACCCCCAATGGCGACACAGCATAAGGCTTGACCATACTTCATGCCATCTCCATTTCCTTCTCCAGTGGACTGGACGACTTCCTAGGAACGCAGTCTCCCCAGCCGCAACTCTAACTGCGGTTCAGAACTCAACACGACCATTTTTCTACATGTCATCGAATTTCTTCTCCACTGAATTCTAGATAAACCTCAAAGCTTCACTAGGAACTGCTGTGTAATTGTTAGACTGACAAAAACAACCTTTCACAAACATAAGCTACTTAAGGAGTTTTGGATGTCAGAGAGACCGAGAGGGATCCCTAAAACTCTAGTGCCTACAGTAAACATGGAGTAAACAAGTCAGGTACCTTCAGTGACTGCAGAGAGTCTGAATTATTATCACAGTAGAGGATGATGTTGTTGGCCATGCTGAAACTTTCTCTGACCCCAAGGTGGTAAAACAATGATGGCTGTCGGAAGGCGTCACTCATCTCCACCACAGCGATATCTGCAAACACAAAACAAAGCCCCCCAAAGATGACACCTAAACAATGCCCGGTAAGCACAGTTTGATTTCAACAACTTAGTATTCAAAGAGGAAATGAGGAGATGATAGGGATTTTCCCTCCTCACTTACTACTGAATTTTGAATTTGTAGTTCTACCTGGAAGTGGTTTTAGAAAATGCAGCAAACCTGCATTTTTTTTTTTTTTAAACACAAAGGAGATCATATAATTACTGGCAACTAAGCAAAGTCTGCCAACGGTGGGCTGCTGGGGCTACTTCTCTCTATGAAATTTCAACTTTAAAACAAGTGAACTCAGGTTCCAGAAGCAGATCCGCAGGAAACTGCCTTAAGTGATGAATGTAAAATAAGACTTAAAAAAGCAAATAGGTAAGGGGCACCTGGTGGCTCAGTAGGTTAAGCCTTGGACTCCTGATTTTAGCTCAGGTTACGATCTCACTGTTTGTGAGACTGAGCCCCATGTCTGGCTTTGTGCTGACAGTACGGAATCTGCTTGGGATTCTCTCTTTCCCTCTGCCAGGCTCACATGTGCTCCCTCTCTTTCTCTCAAAATAAATAAATAAATATTAAAAAAATCAAATAGGTAAGATTATGAATTAATCCAGAGCTGCATTTTATAACTAATTATTTATTGTTATCAATATCCAGCAAGTCCCCAGCAAGTATAATCAAGAAAAAAAAAGAAAGCAAAGATATAGAAAATTATGACTAAGAAGGATAATATAACCAGATAGAAATTCTACCAAAGCTCAGAGAAGACTAACACCAAGATAAGTATAAGCCTGACACCAAAATTTGATAATAATGTCCAAAAAATGAAATATAGATTAGTTTCAAACTTATTTTGTATATGGACAAAAATATGAAAAAAAAACGAAGGAAATGCACCAAGCATTACAGTATAAGAAAACTAGATCACGGGTTTACAGTTTATTTTGGGAATGCAAGGATGGCTCAATGGAAAAAAAAAAAAATTATCAGCGTCTCCACAGGTGTTCCAAGTGCATAATTAAAATCCAAAACCCATTTCTCATTAAAAATAATTGCAAACCAAAAATAGAAGAGCATGCCTTTAACATGAAAATGATACATATTCACAACTGCCAACTTTGTTTATAGGTATTCCCAGGAAAATCAGTAAAAAGACAAGGCAGCCAATTATTCCCACCACTAGTTGGCTTTCTGAAAATCCCAGATAATGCAATAAGATTTCACAAAGAGATATAATATTATAAAATAAAATACACAATTATCATTACTTGGAGATGTTTTGGCTATCAACCAAAAAAAAAAACTCAATAGAATCAACTAAATAACTATTATAAGCTATAAAATAATTTAATAAGGTGTTGAGATGCAAAATCATTATGATAGCCAAGAGCTCCCTTTGTAATCCTAACTAGTAATATTTGGAAAATATAATGGTGAAACAAATTCTAATCACGCTTAAAATGAAAATGTTAACATACCTTGTGACAAATTTAACAGATGCTGCTAACTTGTTAAAAATATTTGCAATATATGAGAGATGAAAGGTTAGTATCACTATAAATCATCTCTTATTGTTCAATTTAGAACAAGCAACCATAAAGACATCACAACAGAAAATTAGGCTATGGATACAGGCAGGCAAATTCACAAGAGTAACTAAAATGGCAAACAAATACACAAATAATATTCTATACCTCACTATAAATAAGTGCACATTAAGCAAACTGTAAAATGCCACTTTTGTCTAACAAGTGGTCAAAAATATTAAAGAGTGCCAATGAAGATGCAGAGAAATGATACTCATATGCCAAGGAGAAGTTTAAACTTCCCAGGAGACTTAAATACTTAAAATCATTTACACTTTTTGATCAAATACCTCCATTCCTAAGAATTTACTCCAAGAAAATTCCTATAAATGTGGCAAGTTTACTTGTAAGGATGTCCACGGAATTTTTTTTTTTTTGCAATAAAATGGAAAACACCATTAATAGGAAAATAGGTATGTGGGTAAGTAGATACATAGATAGATTCAAATAGTGGCTTATTATGCAACCATTGAAAGCTACATTTTTGAATCGCTATATTGTACACCTGAAACTAAATATAACACTGTATGTTAACTACACTGGAATTAAAATAAAAAATTAAAAAAACAATATTGTATAAGAATATTTAGCAACAGAGGTAAGCTCAAGCTATAGTAAGTAAAAAAAAGTATTAAATATAATACATTATAATGTATACATTATATGCGAATACATGCATGTGAATAAAAAAATGTCTGGAAAGTTGTACACCAAAATAACAGCTGCGTATTGCGATTGTGCATTATTTTTTCTTCTTTATTCCTTCTATATATTTTTTACAATTTTTCTTACGAACATTGATTACTTTTAAAATTTAAAAACCCACCAAAACACAAGAAAAACAATACTGAAAACCTGTGTGACTGAACGTAAAACTGAACCGCAGCACAAAAAAATAATGCAGACTCTTAAGCTGTTTGATGCAATCGACCTTGTCTAATGAACGTGAGATTAGAATTCACATTCTGTGGAGGAGAAATAAATCAGATCAAACGGAGGCTGAAGACAGAGAGGATTTAGTGAGGTTATGAAAGAGGCAGCCAGGTCACAGGAGCTTCAAAAGATTTTTTTTCAAGGCTAAAATGACTTACGGGCTCTTTAATACAAATAAAGAGTTTTCTTTTGGGGTCCTTCACATTTCTACATCAAAAATCAACACATGAGAAAATGAGTCAGTGCATCCCACCTACACGCCCATCTGCCTCCTGCACCCACACTGTTTCCTCCTCCCACAGATGCCAGCCACTCGCAGTCAGTCGCAGGGCTCTAAAATCAAGAGACAGCGTAACATGGGGCTGAAAGAAACCGAATGAAGCAGTGGCTGATGAAAAACAAACGAGAGATGTGCAAAGAAAAATACTAGCTAAGTTAAAGCAGTCACAAGAAGAAGGGAGATGGGTTATTTCCAGAGAACTGCCTCCTGGGACTTGATGCTAAAATAAAATAGAAACACTGCAGAAGGCTTTTAGATTAAGAGTGAAACTAGATATTCAAAATAAATGGTACAGGCAAAATGGAGCATACTCATCAGGTCTGAATGTCTAAGCAGGAACAGACACATTTTTTTGGATGCTGTATAGAACATTAAAAATGCTTGTTTGTATAATTTTAATACACTGAATAGAGTACAACTCAGAAAAAGAGGGACTTTTTTCTACTTCAGGTCCAGATGACGGATATATTTATGTTCTTTTCTAAATTTATTTTTTCATTTCCATGGAGTAAAATGTACTCTTCTTTCTTCTCTGATGAAGTGATCAGAGCCTGTGCCCCATTTTCTTAAATTGTTGAATTTGTTTTCTTCTTGTGGAGGTTTGTGGGTTCTTTATGTTATCTGGATATTTTTCCTTTGTCAGACAATGGGATTTGCAAATATTTTCTCCCAGTTTGTGACTCGTCTTTCCAGTCTGTTGACAGGATTTTCTTTTTTTTTTAAAACAATTTAACGTTTTTTTATTTTTATTTTTGAGACAGGGAGAGACAGAGCATGAACAGGGGAGGGTCAGAGAGAGGGAGACACAGAATCTGAAACAGGCTCCAGGCTCTGAGCTGTCAGCACAGAGCCCGACACGGGACTTGAACTCACAGACCACAAGATCATGACCTGAGCCAAAGTCAGCCACTCAACCGACTGAGCCACCCAGGCGCCCCTGTTGACAGGATTTTCAAAGAGCAGAAATTTCTAACAGTAAGTCCAATTTATCAATTTTTTTCTTCTATGGATTGTGCTTTAGGTGTGGTATCTTGCCTAACCCAAAGTCACAAAAGTTTTCTCCCATGTTTTCTTCTAGAAATTTTGTAGCTTTACATTTTACATTCTGATCTATGATCCATGTTAAGTTAATTTTTGTCAATGACATGGGATAGGGGTCAAGATTCATATTTGTTGTAAAGACTCTCCTTTCTCAGGCGAACTGCCTCTGCTTCTTTGTCAAACACTAAATGGCTACATTTGTGTGGGTCTGTTGTTGGGTTTTCTGTTCTATCTTTTGCCAACACTACACTGTTCTGATACTTGGGGCTTTATGGTAGGTATTGAAATCAACTGTGAGCCTTCCAACTCTATTTTTCTATTTTCAAAATTGTTTTAGCTAATTTAGTTGTTCTATTTGCTTTCCTGTGTAAGTTTCCTGTGTAATTGGTAGCTGAGAGCTATCAGTTGATAACTACACACAAAAAAAATTCCTCCTGGGATTCTGACTGATATTGTGTTGGATCTACAGATAGATCACTTTGGGGGGGAACTGACATCTTCATACATGGAGTCTTTCCATGCATCAATATAGTGTATCTCTCTATTTATTTAGGTCTTCTTTGATTTCTTTCCTAAGTATTTTGTAATTTTCTTTTTTATTTTAATTTCTTAAAATATAATTTATTGTCAAGTTGGCTAACATATGGTGTATACAGTGTGCTCTTGGTTTTGGGGGTAGATTCCGTGATTCATTGCTTACATACAACACCCAGTGCTGATCCCGATAAGTGCCATCCTCAATGTCCATCAATAGACAGTTCCTACATGTATTTTGTTAGATTTATACCTAAGTGTTTCTTTTTTTTTTTTTTTTTTTTTTGGTGCTATTATAGATGATGTTCTTTCAAATTTCCTAGTTTTTTATAGCTAGTATGTAAAAATACAGTTGACTTTTGTATATTGACCTTCTATCCTGAGACTTTGCTAAACTCACTTATTAGTTCCAGGAGCTTTTTTTTTATTTGCACACGTTCTGGGATTTTCTACATGGATAATCATGTCATTTGAAACTAGAAATGGTTTTATGTCTTCCTTTCTAACCTGTATGTCTTTTATGGTTTGGGGTTTTTGTTGTTGTGTGCTTTGTTTTGCCTGGTTACACTGGCTGAGGCCTTCCAGTAACACAGGATTTTTAAAAATAGTAACATTTC